CTGCTTCAAATCTGACTTCGTCTCGTGATGCCAGCCGGGAAAATGTTGCCTTTAAGTGGTTCATTTGACAATAGTCCCACCTAGATAATCTCCCTGTCTTCAGATGAGCTGATCACAGGAATTCCTAGGTTTGTGTTGAATTATCACAAGCTGGGGACCATAGATGGCCATCTTAGATGGTCTACCATGCATAACAACAATCTTACGGCCTCTTACTTTTGAATGCAGAGCTGCACATCCAGAACTAAAGGTTCACATTGCTTTGCACGTGTCAAATATTGTCAGAGGCCTTCTTGTCCTTTGATAGCAGCTCTGGAAATGGTACTGTTGGCCAAGTTAGGGTAGCAGGTAGAGGCCAGACAGATTGTCGCAAGCAGTAGAAGGGACATATGCTCCTGTCTGCCGCAAGCCCAGTAGTATCTGATGAGGTTCCAGCTCTCCATCTGGCTCTACTGCTTCAGGAATGGGAACAAATGTCTGGCAGTAGTGGTGATGATATTGCCAAAAGAGGGACAAATTTATTATTTAAATAGTCTGCTCCCAGTCACTTCTCAAATTCCCAAGAGAAGCATGCCATTCCTTGGACAGAGTCATCCTTTGCTGGTTGCTCATACAGACAATTCAGCTTCTGCAGGCTCAGCCTTGTTCCCTGCTTTGCTTCTATATGGTTCAGCTACTCTGGGGTAGTTGGTGAAAGAGAGTCCAGCATCTGGGTGCTTGGTTTTCTAATGTGTCCTATTTGTTCCTCTCTGTTCACTCTGAGTCACAGTAGCTGTTGTTCAATGGGACAAGTGAATTCTTTAGTCAGATCCACGTGTGCCTTGCTGGGTGTCATGGCACAATCCTTGTCTTTGCCTTCGTGTCATCTGTCAGCCCTGCTTCTGTCTTTAACATGCTTCAATTACGTTTTGTGCCAATGCCAGCCTGCTCCCTCCACGTGATTGCTTTACCAGAGCTGTTGCTAAGGAGTGGGAGGAAGCTGGCATCGTGCGTGTGCCGCATGCTAAAAGAAAACAGCCACAGGGGGACCTGCTGACATCCAGGTTGTCTTCACAGGGCAGATAATCCTTGCAGGTTTTGAGTTGCATCGTTTTAAGTCATTTCCAGTAAAAAGCAGTAAAAGACAATCTAATTACAGATCTATCCTAAAAAGACAAAAACAAAAACTTAAGTTGCACTATGGTATCGGTCTCGTCATGCCTCTAGCACAAGACCATGACGTGGATATTTCCCTCCAGGTCTTTCTGTTTGGAAGCTCCAGGTGAGGCCCATGCTGGCAATTAGTGAGTAGAAGAGTTGAGAATACTGAGGGCACAGAAGGAAGTAGACAGGATAGATTAGAAAGGTGATAGAGAACCAGAAGTTTTGGGGAAGACAAAAGTACCAAAGGTTTGGCAGTGCCCCAGCTGGAGGAGGAAGAGAATTACGGAGGACTGAAGAAATGGTTTACTGGGGGCTTTGGTGAAGGGTGTGAGGATTGGCGTGTGGGAATCCATTGCCTTGTCCTTTGGCACTGTGTTGGTGACCTGGGCAGCTATAAGGAGGTGGTTTTAGCCAGTCTAAGATGAATTGGCATGTGGCACTTGGGCCATATCCCAGCCTGGATCTCCATTGTTCCTCACCTGGCTCCAGAGTGGATCAGAAGTAACTTGTACTTCGAATTTCCATGCTCAGATGACCCTGGCCTGTTCTTTAGAAGTGACTAATAGTTAATGGGAATGTCAATAGACAAGGCAGAGCTTTCTGTACTTTTATCAGCCTCATCTGAGAATCCATTTAAGTGGAACAGTTTATCAGCGTTTGGCATCAACGGAGGCCAAGCCACTTTACTTCTTTATTCAAGCAAATAAAAGCTGTCATTTTGGGGGAGTCCCTGGTGTCTAGGGCTGCTCTGATTCCTTGTCACCTGTCACCCATATCCGGTAGATCATCTGACCCCTAACCCTCAGCCCAGACCTTGGGGCAGTAGCTATTTTAAAACATCCTAGATGTTTTTGATATGTGAGTTTTTCTGAGAGCTCAGAACATTATTTATTCCCCTGTGTTTTCTCTCCATTCCCAACCCTCTAAACTTTAGAATCTAAAGAACCTTGCATCCTGACTGTTCAGACTGATTAATTTGTTAATCATTTCTCTCTGCTACAGTTTGAGAAATAATCTATTCCAACAGATGAAAGTAGGTGGATTTATAGAAATCAGAGGCTAACTTAAAGGCAAAAGATAACGCACCAGACCAGTGATGACACATGTGGTGACTGGATGTGTTTATTCTCTGAGCATCCTGGCACCACAGCCCCGATGGAGGGGTGGTCTGTTGCCAAACTCACTAGTGGCCATCTGGTCAGTGGAGCTGTGCATTGTGAGCAAGTGGTAGTCCAAAGGGAAGTGGTAGAGGTAGCTGCCTCTTCTTACTACACCTGGGAATGGTGGCACATCTGGAAGTTCTTTGTAGTCTTTGATAAAGAATGATGGGGGCTGGGGGGTAGGAGGCATCTATTTTGAAATGGTACATGGCTGCTACCGAGAGAGCTTTAACTTCAGTTGTGACAGCCATCCTCAGGCTGTTGTAAGCTCTAAGTGCACCTGGTATCTGGCCCCTCCCACGTCCTCTTCTCTTGACTACCTTCCCTTTTACCCATTAGGATTAGCTAAAGACATCACACCACCATCTACAAGCTTTGAAGGACCTCTGAGGATGTTTGCAATGAACCAGGCAAAAAAGTTATGACTGCAAATTATGCAGGGAAGAAAGTAAATACAAATATCCATAAAATGAAATACTTTCTAGTTTAATTGTTAAAATATCAAGGATTCTGTTCATAGGAATTTTAGTACACACAATGATCACCAACGAGTCATAGCTCATTGTTCATTTTCTGTTTGAGGCTGGCTAATTTGGAAAGAACACTAGTTCTTTTAGTTCACGAATTTGGAGGTTCGAGGGTGAGGGACTGCGTGTGATGATGGCCTTCTTGCTGACAGTCTCAAGACAGCACGGGGCATCACATGGCAAGAGAGACAGTGTGCCTGTCACCTCTGATCTCTTTTTTCTTTAACCACCAATAGTCAGTCAAGACTTATCTACTTTGATGACCTGGTTCTGCCTCCCCCCCCCCCCCCCAATCTACCTTTGAACACCATAGTTGGATCAAGTTTGCACCATCTTAGTATAAATGCCATCATAAGAACCCTAGAAAGTAAAACTGCCCTTCCTCCAACTGAGCCACCTTCGCAGTCTTAAAGCCTGAGCAGCTTCTTAGGGAGGCTCACTCACTCTCTCCCCCCAAAACTCTCCCTGGTACATGTTCTCATAGATCTCTGTATCCCCAACCCCTTGCTGTAGCACTCAACACACTCTGTTAGTTAATTCTCCCTGTTAACCAGTGGTAGCAGGGACCAAGTCCATCTTAATTTTAAGGTTTTAAGATGTGAATATCTTAAAGGAATTTTTTTTTTTTTTTTTTGACAGGCAGAGTGGACAGTGAGAGAGAGAGACAGAGAGAAAGGTCTTCCTTTGCCGTTGGTTCACCCTCCAATGGCCGCCGCGGCCAGCGCGCTGTGGCCGGCGCACCGCGCTGATCCGATGGCAGGAGCCAGGAGCCAGGTGCTTTTCCTGGTCTCCCATGGGGTGCAGGGCCCAAGCACCTGGGCCATCCTCCACTGCACTCCCGGGCCACAGCAGAGGGCTGGCCTGGAAGAGGGGCAACCGGGACAGAATCCGGCGCCCCGACCGGGACTAAAACCCGGTGTGCCGGCGCCGCTAGGCGGAGGATTAGCCTAGTGAGCCGCGGCGCCGGCCCCTTAAAGGATTTTTTTAAACTATGTTTTTGAGGTCTGATCTAGAGTTGATTGAATTGGAGTATTCTATAATGGAGGTCACATATATGTCTTACTTTGACAGTCTACATGGATGCATTATTTCTAATGAGTTAGACTATGATGAATGGGCTCAATCATATGAGAAGTCCCACACTAATGCCCTCAAAACAGCAGTGCGTGTATTATACTCCTCCATCAAGCTTTCCTTGATTCAAACCCCTGGTTTCAAAGGTCAGTTTCTGATTTTGAAAGTGAACCAAGATCCGCACGGTGGGTCCTAATGTCTTTTAGCCATTTTGTACAGTTGATATCTTACTGGACTACAGTATGTACCTCTGAAAAGGGCAGTAATGAAAGCCACTATCTGGTATGAGTTATAGCCAGATAGATTCCTCCAAAACCCCTTGACCAAGACCTCCCCATTGTGAAGAATGAAAGTACCCAGTGATGGCTCAGCATCTGTCCCCTTACAGCTTGGCAGTCACAGAAGCAGGCCCACATCTTCCTCTAATTCTGCTGCACTATGCAGCTTGAAAACCGTTTTTAATTAGAACCTTGACTGCTATGCTTAAAACTTAGGGGCAGGGAGTCAGCTAGAATAAGGGGAGTCAAGAAGGTGCGTAAGGAGGTGGGCATGTCAAAAGCCAAGATGCTTTGTCCCATAGCAGAGTACCAGTGTTTCATCAGATGAAAGTAGGAAGCCAATTGCAGCAGACTTTTGTAATTCTGTTTCCAAATCAGAGAAGGCCAACAAGCTCAGGCTGAGTTGTCTGCTGTGCATAGGTTCTGCCAGTGATGAGGAGATCATATGCAGGATCTCTATTTTTACTGAATATGATCCACACAGACAGCATGGCCGGCAGCTGAATACCCAGTACTGCCCAGAATCTCTTGTAGCTTCCACACAACCAGAGCCTCACAGCCTCCTGCCTTGAGGTTGAAGGCATGGACCATACTGCTGTTGGAGCTACTGGCATCTCTGCAGCAGCTAAGGGAGTCATTCTGGTTTTTGGTCTCTTTGAGCCAATCTGTATTTTCCCCATCTGAGTAGCTGTGAATTCCACAGCCGTGCAGCTGTCTCTATGTGTGATCAGTAGCCTGGATAGCAGCACTGGGCTGCTTCTATTGTAGGTCTTAATGTACTTTTTTTTTTTTAATATATATATATTTTTTTTTGACAGGCAGAGTGGACAGTGAGAGAGAGACAGAAAGGTCTTCCTTTGCCGTTGGTTCACCCTCCAATGGCTGCCGCGGCTGGTGCACCGTGCTGATCTGAAGGCAGGAGCCAGGTGCTTCTCCTGATCTCGCATGGGGTGCTGGGCCCAAGCACTTGGGCCATCCTCCACTGCACTCCCGGGCCATAGCAGAGAGCAGGACTGGAAGAGGAGCAACCGGGATGGGACAGAATCCAGCGCCCTGACAAAGACTAGAACCCTGGGTGCCAGCGCCACAGGCGGAGGATTAGCCTAGTGAGCTGCGGCGCCGGTCCTTAATGTACTATCTGAATGCTGTGGTCCACCTTGTTTTTTGCCTTTGCAACACTACAACACTACAACAACCTCTGTAACAAAGACCAAGGGAAGGATGATGACAAATGTGGCAGTCCACAGGGACTTTGCTGGATTCTGGTACAAGAGTGCTCCTACAGCTATGATCACTATGGTAGGGATGAGCGTGTATACATCTTCAAAGAAGAGGTAGTAGTCATCGTAGGTGATATAGGCTTCCTTGTGGCATAAAATGCCAGCTGCACCCCAGAAGATGAGAATGAGAAAGACTGGCACAGTCTTGGAGGAGGTGATACAACACTAGCCCATGGCACCAGCAACCTGCCAAGGCCCTGCTTGATGAGTATTCTTTTTTTTTTTTTTTAATCCTTTAATTAAAAAAAAAATGCATCAGGGTTGGCATTCTGAAGCAGGGGGTTAAGCCTCCACCGCTGACACTGGCATCCCATATTAGAGTGTGAGTTCAAGTCCAGGCTGCTCCATTTCCTATCCAGCTCCTTGCTGCTGTGCCTGGGAAGGCAATGGAAGATGGCCCAAGTGCTTTGGTCCTTGCCACCCATGTGGAAGACACTGATGGAGTTCTGGCTCCTAGATTCAGCCTTGACTGTTGTGGCAGTTTGGGGAGTGAACCAACAGATGGAAGTCATCTACCACCACCCACCACCTCCTCCAAGCTGTTGCTCTGTCTTTCAAATAAATAAATCTTAAAAATTAAACATGTGTGTGGAAAGCTTTTTGTCTTTTGAATTTCAGCATAGCATTATGGAAATAACACAAGTTAGAGATGACCCACATTCGATCCTAGCTGCATCAGAAGCATGGGGCCAGCCCTCCATCCTTCTGACCCTGAGTTTCCTCATCTGGAAGTGGAAAACATCTGCCTCACACTCACCTCGGCACTGAGAGAATTTATTAAATATGATGGTGTGAAGATGCTTTTTAGCTGTTCACTCCTTGGTAAAAGATTCAAAACAGCATTTCTGCTAATATGTTAATGTCCGCATGAGTCATAGGGTGTTTCTTTGCATCTAATACTGGGATGTGCTCAGCTAGAAGACCAGAGTTAGGGCACCTACGCGTGGCGTGAGGTCAGACTGCCCATGACAAATGTTAGAGTTAAAAAGAGCCTCCGGGCATGCCAGTGAAGCTCACTGTGTTCCAACACAAAGTGCCAGGATCTGTCTAGTCTGGGCAGAGTGAAAAGCCAGGCTGACCTCACCACTTTCAGATCCTTGGGGCTGCTGTGTGCACCAACCACTTGAGTGTAAGGGATGGCATCCTTCCCATTCCCATCAGGAAAGAAAAAGAATCACAGTTCTAGGAGCCAATTCAGAAAGTCTGTAACATGTCAGTCTGGTTTTCCTGGTGCTGCATGTAACATGGTATAACAGAATACAAAAGAGTCACTTGAACCTTAAGTGTTGGGGTTGGGAACTCTGCCTAAGGTTTGCCATTGAGCTTGTTCCTCAGCTTTTTGAGCCTGCATTTCCTCGTTAAGATATGAACAAAAGCTACGTCAGAAGGCTATGAAGATTAAGCTTGCATCTTGTGCAAGCCATGGCATACATACTAGGCATTAACAAACTAAGAGTTGATTTCTTGACTGGTGACATATTAAAAATTAGGCTTCTTGGAGCTTGCATTGTGGCATGGTGGATTAAGTGGCTGCTTGTGAAGCTGGAGGAGTGTCTGTTCAAGTCCTGGTTGCCCCACGTCTGATCCAGCTCCCTGTTACTGCACTAGGGAAAGCAGCAGAAGATGATCCAAGTGCTTGGGCCCCTGCTCCCATGTGGAAAATCAGTGGAGTTCTATGCTCCTGGCTTCGGCCTGACACAACCCTAGCCAGTGCAGGGATTTGGGGAATGAACAACAGGTAGACGATCTTATTGCCTCTTTCTTGTCACTCTACCTTTCAAATAAATAAGCAAGTAAATCATTTAAAAACATTAGTTTCTTGAGCCCAGAAATATGACAGGGGTATGGAAGTCAGTTTAACTTGGTTGATTCCCTTAGGCCTTGAATTTGGTAGAACACAGTTGCAGATGAGAAATCCAGCAAATTGACTGAAACATGAGAATATTTGGCTTCAGGTATAGTTGAGTTCAGGGGTTCAGAAAATGTCATCCGAATTCAACTCTGCACCATCCCTAGCTCTGCTTTCTTCTCAGTCATCTCCCTTTTCCAGCAGGCATTGTCTTTAACATTATGTTCTCAGCAACCCTGACGAGCAGAGGAATTCTTTCTACCAATGCTTTATTTATTTACTTGAAAGGCAAAATCTAGGCGAGGGCGGGGGGAATCTCCCATCCACTGGATCACTCCCCAAATGTCTGCAGTGACTGGGGTTGGGCCAGGCCAGAGCCAGGAGCTGATAATTCAATAGTTTTCCCACATAGAATCAGCACCAGCCATCTCCCAGGCTGTACGTTTAGCAGGAAGCTGGAATTGGGAGTGGAGCCAAGACTCGAGCTTAGGCAGTCTCTTATGGGATCCAGGTATCTGAAGAGTTCACTGCTACACAAAATGCCCACTCTTACTCAAAACTTAAAAAAAAAAAAAAAAAAAACTGGGAAGAATGCCCTGATTGATAGGATCTGGCTTCTGTCTTCATCCTTGGAGTAGTAGTGATGCCAGCCTCACCCAGATTGTTTGGAGTAAGAGGAAAAGAAGAGGTGATTCCCAAGGAAAAATCTGAAAGCCCTTAAATAATAATAATAATAAGGCACTGGGGCCGGCTCTGCGGCTCACTAGGCTATTCCTCCACCTTGCGGCGCCGGCACACCGGGTTCTAGTCCCGGTCGGGGCGCCGGATTCTGTCCCGGTTGCCCCTCTTCCAGGCCAGCTCTCTGCTGTGGCCAGGGAGTGCAGTGGAGGATGGCCCAAGTCCTTGGGCCCTGCACCCCATGGGAGACCAGGATAAGTACCTGGCTCCTGCCATCAGATCAATGTGGTGCGCCAGCTGCAGCGCACTGGCCGCGGCGGCCATTGGAGGGTGAACCAACAGCAAAGGAAGACCTTTCTCTCTCTCTCTCTCTCTCTCACTGTCCACTCTGCCTGTCAAAAAACAAACAAACAAAAAAAGGGCACTGGGAATTCAGAAACAATAGCTATTCACTATACACCACATTGTCTAGTTCCTGAATATTCTCAAAAAGATGCCCCCTGCTACTGCCTTCCTACTACCATGTTCTACCTTCCAGAATCTTCTAGTCTACTGGCATAGAATCAGGTGTTCAAAGATGAATCCATTTTAACCAGTCGATGCCCAACAAAGCAAAATTGTTGTATCCAGAAGGCCAAAATTAGAATGTATGCTTGGTGACTATTTCTCATTTTAGCCAGTGATGTTTTTGAATTAGAGGGCAGATCAATTCCCTGGGTGATGACCTCAAGAGAGGAGAACTGGCAGTGATCAATTCTGGGTGTGGGAATAGCTTGTGGGTGTGGGCCAGGAGGAGTGGTAGGGAGGAAGATGGGGACTTTTTCCCCATTGGCAGAAATATAAAAGTGAAAAATGATGACAATGTAAAGGGCGACAAGTGAAGAACAATCAAGACAGAATGAAGCCAGGGTATTGGGGGGAGGCAAAGAGGTTTTTCTCTTAGTTCTAAATAATTTGCACTATTTTGTTTTTAGTATATGTGCACACTATCTTGTCACACACACATATACACACAGATTTGTGTGTGTATATAAATGTGTGTGTGTATATATATGTATATGATACTCCAGAAAGTTTGGAAAATGGAATTAAAAGATAAATTTGTTGCAAAAAGATTTTGAAATCAATGCTTATAGGAGATCTTCAAAAAGTTCATGGAAAATATATGTTATGAAGAAATTACGAGGCTGGTGTTGTGGTGTAGTGGATAAAGCTGCTGCCTAAAGTGCTGGCATCCCATATGGGTGCTGGTTTGAGTCCCAGCTGCTCCACTTCCAATCCAGCTCACTGTTATTTCCTGGGAATGTAGTAGAAGGTGGCCCAAGTCCCTAGGCCCCTGTACCAGTGTGGGAGACCTGGAGGAAGATCCTGGCTCCTGGCTTCAGATCAGCCCAGCTCTGCCCATTGTGGCCAATTGAGGAGAGGACCAGCAGATGGAAGACTCTCTTTCTGCCTCTCCTCTCTCTGTGTAACTCTTTCAAATAAATAAATAAATCTTTTAAAAAATGTATGGATTTCTAAATTTGTGTTGTACCTAAATGAATTTATATTTTAATTCTATTTTCCATGAACTTTTTGAAGTTTCATTATATAGGTTACTTTGCGTTAAGAATCTCAGGTACAACTTCTGTAATTTTCTAGTACCTTCAAGGCAAATAAGGATCAGAATTTGCTTGGAGTGAGCATGTGGGCTCAGTGGTTAAGACCACTTAGCGTGGTTGGCAGGTGTTATGGTATAGGGTGTAGGCTCCCATGGCATCCCATATCCAAGTGGCAGTTTGAGTCCTGGCTATTCTGTGCTTCTGGCCCAGCTTCCTGCTGATGGTCTCTGGGAGGTGGTGGATGGTGGCTGAATTACTTGGAGTCCTGTTGCCCATATGTGAGACCTGGATGGAGTTCCTGGCTCCTGGCTTCTGCCTGGCCTAGCTCTGGATGTTGGTGGTATTTGCAGAATGAACCAACAGTTGGAAGATCTCCCTCTGCCCCTGTTACTCTGCCTTTCAATTAAATAAATAAATCTTATAAATAAATAAATAAAAGCTCCCCTTAGGATGCCTGCATCCCACAGCAGAGTGCCTGGATTCAAGTCCCACTTCTACTTCTGATTCAGCTTCCTGTTAAAGTGTATCCGGGGACACAGCAGGTAATGGGTCAGGGAGACATGGGACATGGGAGTCCCAGATTGACTTTCCATCTCATGACTTCAGCTGGGCCCAGCCCCATCTGTTGCAGGCGTTTAGGGAGTGAATCAGCAGAAGGAAGATCTTTCATCTCCCTCTGCATTTCATAAGTAAATAAATCTTTCAGGAAAAGATTAGAAATCCCCTTTCTCTTACTCCTCTGTACCCTTCCTCAAAAAAACAAAACTGGACAAAAGACTGCCTTGTGATGTGGCAGGAGCCTCGGAAAGAGGTACGGGAGAGAGAGGAGCTTGCAGTGCTGCTGAACAAGTTGTGTAGGTCCCCTGCACATTAGCTGTCATCCAGGATTCTGGGTCAGAGCACACTGCTCAACTACCACTTTCAGGGTCTCTTTAGGTGCAAGGTAATGCTTCCCAAAGGGTCCTTCATGGAATCCTAGCATCATGGGGTGCTTCCCCTGTAAAGGGCATGACATTTAGAAAATCCTCCAGGCTGCGTCCCAGGCTCAGAGTCACAGTGCATGTTAACATAGCCAATGCTCCAAGGAGTCCTGCAGTTGAAACTGGTTGACTTAGCTCTCTACCGCTTTTTTTTTTTTTTTTTTAAGATTTATTTATTTATTTGAAAGAGTTATGGGCGGGGGGGGGGGGAGGGTGTCTTCTATCCAATGGTTCACTCCCCAATTGGCCGCAATGGCCGGAACTGCGCTGATCCAAAGCCAGGATCCAGTAGCTTCTTCTGGGTCTCTCACACGAGTGCAGGGGCCCAAGGACTTGGGCCATCTTCTACTGCTTTCCCAGGCCACAGCAGAGAGCTGGATTGGAAGTGGAATAGCCAGGTTTGGAACCGGCCCCACTCTACCACTCTTAGACCATGGAGCTCTTCCCACCCTGCAAAGAAAATAAAAAAAAAAAAATTAACTTTACACAGTGCTTTTGTTCTGCAAATCCTACTTTAGGGGTTTCTGGTTTATGAGGATATTTTTAGGAAACTAGAACCGGTGCCCATATGGGATGCTAGCACTTCAGGCCAGGGTATCAACCCACTGCGCCACAGCGCCCGCCCCAACTTCGGCATTCTTGATTGGAGGTTGGTTGTTTTTTTTTTTTTTTTTTTGACAGAGTTAGACAGTGAGAGAGAGAGAGAGAGAGACAGAGAGAAAGGTCTTCCTTCTGTTGATTCACCCCCCAGATGGCTACTATGGCCGGCGTGCTGCACCGATCCAAAGCCAGGAGCCAGGTGCTTCCTCCTAGTCTCCCATGCGGGTGCAGGGGCCAAGGACCTGGGCCATCCTCCACTGCCTTCCCAGGCCACAGCAGAGAGCTGGACTGGAAGAGGAGCAACTGGGACAGAACCGGCGCCCTGACCAGGACTAGAACCTGGAGTGCCAGTGCCGCAGGCAGAGGATCAGCCTAGTGAGCCACGGCGCCAGCCTGATTGGAGTATTTGTGAGAAGCCAAGCAGCTGGAGGGAACCAGGGTGGAGATCCGTGCTCACATCTAACCCTTGCCCAGTTCTGTGGTACTACCTGGTCTCACACCATGTTCCCTTAGTGTCTGGGTTAAAAGCAATTAGAAATGTCAGGTATGTGGACAGGATAGGGTTTTTCATCCCCCATTGTGTGATTGCTTCGATGTCCCCAGTTTCTTGAGAATTGCTCTGGCTGCTCTTGGCTCAGAGGCTGACTATGGGCTTTCAGCAAGAAGAGGTTGGAAGAGTTCTGGGAGAAACTCTTGGGGAGGGGGGCCCATGGAGTAACAGAAGGTTCCATGAAGTCTCATGGGTGACTGTACCTCTTAGACCAAGCCTGAGCTGTGGAATACCTAGATCTGCAAGTCCAACTGCTGTCAGCTGTGACTGCGATGCAAACATGACCTTTGAGGCAGAGGCCTGGTAGATGGGAAGGAAGAGAAGGCTTGGGATGTGTAAATAGAAAAGATGCACTTGTACTTAAAACAAGCTCCTGTCTTGAGTCACCGCCAGCCCTACTCCTCTCGTTAATGAACCTCCAGAAGAGAACCTGGCTGGATGCTTTCTGAATGCCCTGTTTTAAATGTAGAGTTTCCTTGGATGCTTTTAAAAGCTGTAGATCCCACATGCCAGTGCTAAACGTTTGCAGCTCTTCATAACCTGAGTGAATATTGTGCACAGTCTTGATTGTTGTCTATTTTGAGTGCTGAAGATGAAAGAGCAGCAGAGATTTGATCAGAGCCCCAGAAGTTCGAGCAGAGCTCTGAATGCCATCCAGCTTGGAAATAACGAAGAGATCTGGAACTCTCCACCCACCTGCCTGAGAGCAAGAAGAATGAAACAGGGAGCAGAAAACAACTTAGCTGCGGAACTAAGGAGTGTGTAGTGAGAACCTTTGTTAGCAACATCAAGAAAACAGCTTTAGCAAAACAAGGGGTGCTACAAGGAGACACAGGAGGGGGTGAGCTGCACCAGTCCTTGGGGAGTGCCCTACTTCTCTGGTCCATTTGCCAGGATTCCGTGTGCCCCAACAGGACTGTCTGTGCACTAATGTGCCTTATATATCCCTTCCTATTTATTGAGAAACGAATGACATCAGCCATGCTGCTCCCCTGTCAGGGAGCTGTCCAAGCCTGATACTTAGCTGCAACAGCACCAGTCAAAAATCGCCAAACCTTTGAGATGATGATAATACCATGAAAGAAGGGCAAACAACTTAGCCAGTGGAGACAGCGTAGCTGC